CTATTTCGATACGAAATTATTATAATATTATTTGGTGACGCCACAATATATATATATATATATATATAAAAATATAAATTTCCATTAAAACCGAGCTTCTCTCTCTGCCGAGTTTCACCTTGGCTTCAGTGTTGCTGAGCGTTGCCGTGTGACGCAGGGCGAGGCCGAGAAAGTCAGGACAGCGACACTCGTAAGAGTGACAGAGACATGGACAGAAAGTAATAGATTGACACAGACACGGAGAGAAACAGACTGAGAGTCAAGAGACAGGCAGAGGCAGACACAAACAGAGAGACAGACAGGCAGAAAGAGATAAACAGAGACACGGAGAGAGAGAGAGAGACAGACAGACAGACAGACAGACAGACATAAAGAGACGGAGACAGAGAAAGGCGGAAAGGCAGAGAGAGTCAGAGACGGTGAGACAGAGTGACGGAGAGAAAGAGAGACTGAGAGGAAAGGAGAAAGAGGGAGGGCAGGACAACGGCTGCCAGGTTCCCCTAGTACTACATGTTATTTGTAACTCATCTATGTTAAATCTTTAGTAGCCCTAGTATATTACCCTTATATTTGAAACTTGTTACCAGGGGAGCCGCGGGAAGTTTCGTTTAGGCCAAGGGAGTCGTGAACGAAAAATGTTTGAAAACCCCTGAGTTAGAATGAGACAAAGATCGAATATGCATTGAACTCACTTCACCGAAATACTTATGTATCTAGGGCGTTAAGTAGATGGTTTTGCTCCGAGGGCGACTTCCAAACCTGAAGGTCTCTGGCCCGAGGAGTTGGAAGTCGCCTCAGGGGCAAAAACATCAAGAAACGCCCGTGGTGCATACAAAACTTGGTTTACTAGTTCATTGCAGAATCAAACGAGAATTCGGAACATTTATAACTTTTCTTGCGTTTAAAGTGAAAAGACGCTTAGTAATCATCATTTGTCAATATGATGTCAAATAAAAAATACAGAATATGTATCAATTACTACTGCAAACTCTTTGTTCGACTGATTTGTTCGCACAAAATTAAAGAATATTGTAAAATTCTCGTAGAAGCTAACAAAGCTACGGATAGCGGTTTCTGGTAAAATATCTAGAAATTTATTAAAATAATTATGATGTATTTGACAGTTATTTGGATTATAACAGTGTGAATTGCGCTGATGAATCAGTGCTTTTAACTTATTTGCCTCTATCGACAAAAGTTATTTAGAATATTTCACAACTTCAAAAAATATCATTTCAAGGATGTTAGCCGATGTTCCTTGCAGATCTTATTACTTATAGTAGTACTGTCGAAGAACTAAGAATCACACACTATATTTTTCTTTTTTTTTTAAAAAAAAAAAGGTGATACGTAACTGTGAAATGTGAGTGACTAATGGCAATTATAAATTCACA